AAGCTTTTCTTTGCTCATTGGTGGAGCAGAAAAACACTTGCTGGACTTGGCACTTAGATATTTATTTTTGAATTTTCCTTTTAAGTTATTTTCCATGGCAAAGTCAGTCCCCTTCCAGCAGGCCGGCATGCTTTGGAGCTGGTTAAAGCCGTTCTGAGAAGATGAGATTTTTTGTAAATTACGCTTGCGAGCTTTGCTGGAGAGACAAAAGTCAGAAGAGCTTCGCTTTGCAAAGCTGAGCTTTGTAAATGATTTTCTGTTTCCCTCAAGGGTCCCAATTTTAATGTATAAACTATTGGCCAGTCTTGATAAAATTCCTCATCTGTCATTGCCAACTATTGTAATACAGGTTAATCAACTAGGCCAAGATCAAATGCCTTAACAGTTTCCTAGAAGCAAAACCAGAGTAAACTAGGAATAGATTCCTTCCGAAAATAGCCTCAGTCTAGTGTGATCAAATTATACAACACCTTGCCAACGTATTCACAATGTAGATTGTTTGTATTTTAGAATCCGTTAACATTAGTACCACATTCTTTTATGTATATAGTTCTATATAAAGTTTATTTTCCAGAATGAAAATCGTATTTTAACAGGTACTAGGAAATCAACAAGTCTCGCTCACTGGGATGCATAGCTCATATGAGACTCATTGGAATGGACACAGACCAGTGTGGTGTCTGTCATGTGCAACATTAGTCATGTGACTTTTCCATTATTTTTTTATATACATCGGTTAATCTAAAAACCTTTGCTAGAGCAGATTTTTTCCCATAATATAATAAAATATATATCACTGTAATGTTTTGTGTGCTGCATGCAAAGAACATTTTAACTGCCATCCTTCTAATGGCTGATTTGCAGGTGGGAGTGTAAGGGAGGAAAAAAAAAATTTGTGTATACTACATATCTTGGGTAATCAGAGGCGTGGAACCTAAGGGCTTTTTATATTGTTGTGTTCTTCACTTAAAGGGGATTTTCAAGAGAAGTAAAGATACAAAGTACTATGTTTGCTTCTATACCTTATGTCTGATGGGTCATCTTTTTTGTCTACAAAACAGGGTTGTGTTAAGGGAGGACCCCTCTGTTACTCTATGGAGGTGTTAAAATCAAATAAAGATTTTTTATTTTTCTTGGAAACCCTCTTTATGTTCTAAACCAGCAGGGCTTAATATCAGTTTCACATGCAATAAAGAGGTAGTGCACCTTGTGACTTGAAGTGATGCAACTTTGTGAGTTGAAGTGATGTTGGTAAGGATTTTGCCACCCCCCCCCCCCCCCCCCCCCCACTTTTTTTTGTTTTTTTCTTTTTTTTTTTCTTTCCTTGTGCTGTCTTTGTTCAAGCCCAAGGAAAATTATTGTCATTACGTGCTTCTCATTTGTATTTTAGAGGTACAGCCTAATTTGTCATAAAATTTTGTAATGTTAGTAAGAACATAGAATTCCTGAATAGGTATGTTCTGCAAAAATATCAACCTTTTGGTTCAGCAATTCCACCAGATCCTCCAAAAAAATTTAAGTGGAACTCCAGTCATAACTTGACTTACTCTAAACCTACTCCCACCCCCACTCTAAAGCTATTCTATCTAACCCTGTAAAGAAAAAAATCACTATACTTAGCTTTTCTAAAGCCCCTCGTATCTGGTCTCTAGTGGTGCCTTCTGTGTAGAAAGAAAGCCGACAATAGCTAGGAAACTAATAGGGGATGGTGTCACCCATAGACTTACTATAGGGCATCTGTTGTCGGCTGCCTGTGCTCTACACAGAAGCCGCTGCTTACAGCTTAGCCTGGGACCAGGCCGGAGCAGCTTCAGTATAGGTAAATATAGCGATCTCTTCTTTACCGGGTTAGAGAAAATAGCTTTAGAATGGGGGTTGAGAGTAGATTTAGAATTAGTTAAGCTATGGCTGGAATTCCACTTTAAGTCTTCATGGTCAGGTGCACTGACTGTCACCCACTCATGTATCTTAAAAAGTTATGCTTCTCTACATGTCCACATCAGATCTGTATCAGTTTAAATACTCCGGCTCGGATGGTGAGAGTGTATGGCATTCAGCTTCTTACCTTGATGGGGATTGACACAAAAGGCCTATTGTAATTTTTGAGGAAGGTTATTCATTGCTGTGCAATAGCTTTGGCAGTCATTATTTGGTTATTTTAAAGATGATTGCAGTAATTGTTTAATATGACAGGTTTGATGTATGCAGATCCCAGGCAATGAAGGAACCAAGTGATATTTTACTTCCTTTGAATCATTGTTTAGCGATTGTACTGTCTAGTTTCTCTGCACTCCACACACTCCTAGAAAAACCTGACAGTACTGATCTGAAAACTGCTTACGTTAAAGACAGAAATAATAGTTTCAACAGCTGAGTTTAGATTGTATTCTGGTTGATATCACAAAAAGGCAGGAAATGTATATTCGCATAGTGGTTTTTCCTCTGATTGATGAATCTAGAAGAGTAGAGAGCTCTCCTGTGACAATAAACACAACAGCTGGCTGTCAGAAAAATAAAAAGACTAAAGTGGATCTTGCATAAAAATGTATATTCTAGCAGACTTCTCTACATTGCCACTTAACTCTGTACAGTGACTGAAATGTGTAAGGAAAATTAACTGTCATGGTTTTTTTTTTTTTTTGGTGTAAAATTCTTCCAACATGCTGATTATTTTCAGCGTTCAGTGAGCATAGATCTATTACAGCAGACCAGTTCAGGCAGAGATCGAAGTCTGCTGCTCGTGTGATTTCTATCTGCATCAGTCTTGGGGGAAACACACATCCAAAACACGCTGGTAGTGTTTTACAGATAGAGCCATTTTCACAGCCCTTAAATTAAACTTGTTTTTCCCCACTTCAGTCATGTGCAGATTATTATTTTTCTGTTCCTAAATATGGTTAAAGTCAACTCAGTGTAGAAAAAGTTAAGAATGTTCATCACAGGAACTTGTGGCTTCTTAAGTAAAGCTCCTTGTCCAGTGGTCTAGGTAGAACTTGAAGAACTGCTCTATGCCGAGATAAGGATCTCCCTGCCAGTTGCAGTAAAGGGAACAGGGGCCTGTACACCATCCAGGATTGTAGAAGCATCATCCGAGAAAGGAAAAAGCACCGCACACCGACCCGGTGCATGAATATGTGGATGAGTGTGGCCTCAGCCAGTGCCGCTCCAGTCAGGCCCCCTGACATGTTTCGCCCATACACCAGGGCTTGGTCACAGAGGGTAACACTTATCCACATATTCATGCACAGGATCGGTAAGCGGTGCTTTTTCCTTTCGCCGATGATCCTTGTCCATTGGTGACAGAATGCCTTTAGGCCTCATTTGCAAACTGTGCCTAAAGACCAGTTTACTTTCTTTCCAAGCAACTAAACAGTGTCTTCTGTTCAGAAAGGTAGAAACCCATTTGTTGCTGGGAAGGAAAGGGAAGAATGTTCTGTACTGTGATCCTTCAAAAGATCAGGCCCGTAGTTCTGTTTAGCAGAAACACTTTGATAAATAAGTTGGTGTGACATAGGACTGCCTTTTTCAACATGTCCCCTTAAAATCTCAGTAATCCTGGTCTAAGCTTAATATAAGGCTCTGTTGAGAGTCTAATAGCTGTGTTATTTGGGATGAGTTCTGCCTCTGCTGAAAAAGCTTTTCTGGCAGGTGAACCCAGGGAAGCAATGCGAATCAATAGAAGGTGCAGCCCAAATGCAGCATGGAAGGCTTGTGTCAGTTATGCAAAGCCCAACAAACGCAGCAGTATGGCACCTTGACTTCCATTGAGCACTTTTTTTTTTTATGTCCCGTAGACAAGCAAATTGTCTTACTCCTGTTCAGTTTTCAGAATGGCCTGATCTGTAACAGATTTGGCCAATAAATAACTGCTCTCATGCCGTCCTATAGCAGAAATACAGGGTGGCACGGCTGTGCAAAATCACGTGTATATATACGTGATTTTGCAGTTACCGGCAGGGGGCATGTGTGCGCCCTACCCGTGCCGCCATTTGCGGCCTCAGCTGTCAATCACCGGGTCCCGGCTGGTGATTCCCCGCTGGCACACCGCGAGCTCCAAGGATCTCTGATGCGGGAGAGACCTGTATGTAAACAATACAGATCTCTCTTTCCTGTCAGCTCCAGCATGCTGCTTTGTATGTATCTGCATAGCAGAGCCAAAGCAGTGTGCTTCCAGTGAAACACACACACAACCCCTATTTTTAGAGGGATTCAAGAAACATTTACAAATATAATGTTTTTTTAACTGTTTTCAAAAGATTTATTCTAATGAGACGCAAGGTGCCTGTCACAAAAAAAAAAAAACATGTCCAGGGTGCTTGTGCCTAGGTTGTCTACCAGCTCACAAGTACCATGAATGTTTCAGTATATAATGGGACTAAAGGCATTTGAAGTTCATAATGGCATTGAGAAATTCTGAAATTGTGAACTGATGTTATAAATTGCCAAAATATTCCTTAAACTAAGATCATGTTAATTTAATTGCAATTGTTGCATTTTTTTTACATTATCTGTCACCAAGCTGATATGCGTACAGACCGAATATCTGCTAGTTAAAAAGCTGTATGCAGTTCCACAACATTTCTCACTCTGTTGTAAGCTCAGATTTTCTACCATGTGGATCATAGGTGCCCATACATTCCTGTGTGACAGGACTGGAGGAATATATATGCTAGTGTATTGCAGTTAATACGTTTAGGCATTTGACTGATGATGAGAGGAGTTATGGCAGTTGCTCCATGTAGAAAGTGAAAGAATAATTTTCAGTGGTTTTAGAACAAAACAGTAAGAAGGACTCTCTGAAGAGAAACACTCAGTGGAAATAGAGCAGGCATTGTGTCTTCAGTATACATGGTACAAGCTTCAGGCCTATTGGCCTTATTGTTGTTTCAATACTTCATTCTTGACCTGAAGCAAATATGCAGTCAGAGAGGTGGAGAATCTTGATCTCGAGTCAATCACTCTCTATGGTTGAGGTCTACATGGTCACTGAATGTGGGAGG